GCCATGTGCCACCTTATATTAAACCTATGCTCTTAGTAAATAATGTTTTTTTATCAGACTTGTTCTAGTGACTGGAGTAGCTGGTAGGTTCCTAGAGTTTTTACTGAATTGCGAAAATCTGTTTTTCAGCTACAGTGCACCAGTGAACTGGAATAAATTACAGGAAACTCCAAGGCCATTTTAATGTTCTAATCACCAACCACCTCCACTCTACTTTTTATTTTTCTATTTTACTGAATAATTTATTTGTAAAGTTTTTCTTTTTTTTATTGTCTTTTATCTTAGTTGTTTTTTTATTTTTCATGTTTTTTATTTTTTAATTTTTTGTTTATTTTTTAATACATTTTCTTTGTTTATTTATTTTTGTTAGTCTTGATTTGTTTGAATGAGTAAATTTAATTTTAATTTCTTCAATCCCTGTTTAATCTTGCACAGCCACATCGTAAATGAGGGTCACCGTAAATGTACTAAATGTAAATGTATGAAATAAAAGTTGATTAAATAATTGACTGATAATCACAGGTGGCGCTTGCATGTATCTTTTATGGCCAGAAATTGCTCTACTGAACTTTAAACTCTTATCAGCTGCACACAATTTTATTTACCCGACAATTTTACTCTATAATTCTGAGTCTCTGCCCCTGCATCCTTGTTTAAACTCCAGTAACTCTGCTGTAGTTTAAAAAGAAACACTCAGACTCCATTATCTTCCGCAGAGACTTCAACCACACAAACCTGAGGGCTGAACCAAGATATAAACAACTGATCAGCTGTCCCAGAAGACAAAACACTTGACTACTGCTACAGCACCATCAAGGACGTGCACCAGGCAGCCACCCATGCCCCCCTTAGAAAGTCTGACCATTCCCTATATATTTATATATTTATACAGGCAAAAGTTTAAAGCCTGAGGTAAAATTGGTGGGAACATGCTCTTCTGATGCCACAAACGATTTGAGAGAATGTCTGGACTCCAACTGGATGCATACAAAACGGCCAAGCATGCCCTCAAAAAGCATCAAAGACAGCAGCAGACAAGACTCATTAGCGGAACCTATCCTCCACTGGTCGACACTGGATATCAAAACTCAAGATTTGAAAAACGCTAAGGACTTCTACCTCTTCCCCTTCCCCCAGCCTAGCCAGCCAGTCTGCAGCACCTTGTCTGTAGTCTTTTCACATCTCCCTTCTGTTCTCGCCTCCACACAAACCGCTTCTCACCACGTCAGCCCTGATGCCCCTTCAGGACCCTCTGCAACTTGCATACAGAGCAGTTGCTTCATTTTATGGGTGTTGCAAAGCACTTAGCACATACAGTTCACAAAATATAATTGCAGCAGCTGCTATTCAAACACTTGCCATGCACTGTGCAAAGCATTCAATATTTTGTCACAGTGTCTATGGAAAATAGTGCACTTGACAGTGCACTTTTCCAAATGCTGCAATGTGGTGGGGCACTTCAAGCACAGTCCACCAAATATCGCAGTAATACACAGTTCTAACACAATTTTAACAATAAACAAACAATTTTAAACACTGGAATTAATGTATAACTGCTAATTCACCAACCTTTAACCTTGAAAATTGTCCCAAAGAGCTGAATGTTTTTCAGCACATATACACCGTATATATGCTTTAAATGTGTCTTATAGTAATCTGATATAATAATGTGATATGTAGTGTTACACACCTATAGCCTAAGTTTATCAATAATCAAAAACTTAAAATCCAGGACAGACTTTGTGTACTTTGGAGTAGAATGAATGAATTATACTGGTTGGGTTTATTGTCCTCTAGATTTCAAACTAATTAATATTTCTTAGTAACGTGTTGACAAAGTCACTAGCATTAAAGATGCAGTTCTTCTAAAAGACAATCTGTTCAAGTTGTGGTCTAATATAGTTTGTTCTATTTATGTTCACCAGTGTTATTTGCCTTGAATGAATTTCACCTGTCACCATAATACATCTGCTGCCTTAGTCTGCAATAGTTGTTTTACGACAAAAATGGGATTCCTGTATAAGAATTGCAACTGCTTTGCTTTAGCAGAAAAAAAGTGCCCACTCATCTTTTTGTACTGCCAATTAGTAATACCACACTAATGGCCTGCACTGCTGAAGAACATGGGTGCAGTGTGTTACTGCAAAAAAGATGCAGTGCAAGGAATAACACTGTACATGGAGATGATTTTGCCAATATCACACTATGCATGCGTATCTGTCGTACGTATACATATGTTGCTATGTATATGCATCTTAAAATATTTACTTTTTTGTACTCCTGAGATTAAACACTGAGCACGTTTACATGCACAGAAATTCAGATTTTATCAGTAACATGGTTACAATAATATGCATTTACATGCACTTGATAATCAGATAATTCTGGGACTACATGAGTTGATTGGATTTCTGTTTTGCAACCAGACAGTGAACTCACAGAAGATGTGACGCAAACGTAATGTAAAACTCAAACGTCATGCCACGGCTCTTTTTTCAAACACCGAGCCACTTTGAAAATATGCTCATACATCATCTAGAAGATGAAGAAACCCTCATTTTCTCAGACATATTGTTGGTTTCAGCAACGTTCAAAAAGTGTTTTGTTGACATCTCACGGATGCTGTGCTAAACACTGATTACTTATTTCCGGTACTGCAGTCTATTTTTTCACATGCACAGACTGAAAAAACCAAAGGAAATCCAGGTAAGAGTATACATGCACTGAGCATTCCGATTACTGAGCTGAAATACAGCTTTCTTTATTTCTAGACCTTACTCCAATCAAAAGAATCGGACTATGCTGTTTACATGACCATTTTAATAATCAGATAACTTCAGAAATCCAAATAGAATCAGATTATTAAATGCATGTAAACACACTCACTGATACTTTTTGACCTTTTATTCAGGTATATTTTGGCTCATCTTTAACAAGATGTGTCCATACTTTGACTTAAATACAGCGTCTCTGTACTTTGTCCATCTCTGCAAACTCTGCTACAAAAGTCTCAACTTGCCTTGTCTTGTAATCTAAGCATAGTATTGGACTAAATTACTGGGTATTACTGTGCATAAAAAACACAACCTGACAGCCTAATATATTGAGCAAAGCAGGTTAAAAACAAAAACTCAAAACTCTTGGCTTAAACTAAACAACATCTGTAACTTCCTTACTCAAAACAACCCAGGCTCACTAAACAGAAACAAGTTCAAACTTGATGGACCTCATGAAATTCCAAGACAATTTCCACTAAATTTGATATCTGACCCTCATACCGCCTTTTTCTTTTTTGTGGAAGACGATTAAAAAATGTCTAATTTTTATAGCACATAATTAAATGCTTGTAAAAAACTTGCTCAGAATACATACATACTATGGCTTGCAAACATGCTATAGGTTGAGTTGGTTAATTAAAGGACCCAAGCTCATTAAACAGAAACAGTTGGGCCTTTGAGGTAGAAAAACAGTTCGCATGATGTTGCACTTTAACAGAGAAACTAAAATAGATCAACATTTTCTATTATCCATTATTCTACCGGAAATCCACAAAATGTGAATTTAATTTACATTTAATTTAAAAATGCAAACACTGGTGGCTCTAAAGAGAGCTCCGTCTTTATATGTCTGGCTTCTTAGCCAAAGGGAGCAAAATTATTTATGGTGTGTGTTTTGGTGAGGCAGAATGAGACTCATATTTCGGTAAAGACTATCCTGGAAATTCATGAGGTTGAGAACTACTTTTGCAATTTTTTGTTATGTACGGCCACCACTTTGTCTCTGGTGCAGAGAAGTCAGGCATCAGACTATAATTATGACTCTGCATATTCTGCAAATCAATATACAACCCCAAAAGTTGGGACGCTGTGCAGAATGTAAGTAAAAATACAATGCAATGATTTTCAAATCAACATATATATACAAAGACAACATATCAAATGTTGAAACTAAGAAATTTTATTGTTTTTCAAAAAATACATGCCCATGTCGAATTTAATGCCAACAACACATTCCAAAAAAGTTGGGACGGGCATGTTTACCACTGTGTTTGATCACCTCTTCTTTTAACAACACTCTATAAGCTTTTGGAAACTGAGGAGACCAACTGCTATAGTTTTGAAGTAAAAGGTTCTGAAATAGGATTTCAGCTGCTCAACAGTTCGGGGTCTCCTTTGTCATATTTTTCATTTAATACTGCGCTAAATGTTTTCAGTGGGTGACAGGTCTTGACTGCAGGCAGGCCAGTTTAGCACCCAGACTCTTTTAATACAGAACAATGCTGTTGTAATACATGCAGAATATGGTCTGGCATTGTCTTGCTGAAATAAGCAAGACCTTCCCTGAAAAAGACATTGTCTGGATGGCAGCATATGTTACCACAACCTGTATATATCATTCAGCATTAATGGTGCCTTCACTGATGTGTATGTCACCCATGCCATGTGCACTGATGCAATTCCATTCCATCATGAATACTGGCTTTTGAACTAAGCACTGATAACAAACTGAGAGGTCTTTAGCCTGGAGGACAGTGTCCATGATTTCCGTGAAGAATTTCAAATTTTGAGGAGTCGGACCACATGACACTTTTCCACTTCCCCTCAGTCCATTTTAAATGAGCTCAGGCCAAGAGAAGGTGGCAGCATTCCTGGATCCTGTTTATATATGTTTTTTTTTTCTTTGCGTTTTAGAGTTTTAACTTGCATTTGTGGATGCAGTGACAAATTGTTTTCACAGACAGTGGTTTTCAGAAGTGTTCCTGAGCTCATGCAGTGATTTCCTCTACTGAATCGTGTCTGTTTTAATGCAGTGCCACCTGAGAGCCCAAAGATCATGCCCAGCAAATACTGGTTTTGTTACATTTTGTTTTTATTTTAATTTTGCACAGCGTTTCAACTTTTTTGGAAAGGGGTTGTACCACTGTCGACCGTAAATCCAAACAAGTGTGCACTGAAAACAGAAAAAGGAAATAAAAAATGAAAGAAAGAAAAAAGTCCAACCTGCTCTTAGTGCCATTGGTAATGGGAGTAGGAGGGGAGCAGAGGCTGAAACGGCTGCTCTCGCTCAAGGGTCTGGGCACAGATAGTGAGGTGTGGGAGAGTGAATCTAGATTTGGATCAAGCTTCACTGCTGTGTCTGGACTGTCTGGGTCTGGTTCAGAGCCACTCAGGTTCACCTTGGCCCGCTTCTTAGCTGCACTGTTGCGCAAAGAGCGCAAGGAGTTCATCATCTAAAAAAAAAAAACATACATTAAGTAGATCATATCAATTTCTTGCTTTGATCAAGGACAACTAGGTGTTGGGTGAATCACAAAAACACCCATGCAAATACAGAACAACTTGTTGATCACCTCCTCCCTGTCCACTGGCTCCTCATCTGGGTCCTGCAGGTTCATGAAGGACAGGTCAAGATTAAGATTCTTACTAGGCTGATCTTGCTGGGCGCCATCCTGCATAGACTGCTGTGTGACTGGGAAGATGGGTGGAGACAACCTGGCAGCACTCAGGGCCTGAGGAAAAGATGAAGCTGAGGTGCCATCTGCCCGAGAAGTGCGCACAGGCAGTGGTGAACACCTGCTGGAGCTAGGCTCACCTGCAGGAGGATATGAAATGTATTAAACTTATTTAATCTATTGGGTGTCCTCGTCAAACAAACACACAGGTATGTACTTTTAACTCCTCCTGCTAATTCTGTCATATACTATAGGCTCTATATTCATGAATGTATAAGCAAACCTTAGTGGTATAATGCCAGTGGTATGGCTCATGTTGTTTAGGTGTAAGTTATTTTTTTCCTGTTCTCAACCAGTTGCTATTTTTGTGGCCAGAAATGAATGTGTGTGCACTGATGTGGGTGGGATGGCACAACAAGAAATATGCCATTTAAAATTCGCCAGTTCGGTGCTACTGTATTTTCGAAAGGTACTTTGGCTCTTTTACTTGGTCACATCCTGATCCGTACTAATCCACAACCCCAAGGCAAACATGGTATTTTCCTGACGTCAAGCAAACTAACCTTACTAAATACTACTTTATCCTTTCTAGACAAGACCAAACAACGTATGTATGGTTGCTAATGTGAAATAGAACAGCTGATACATCATTATGCACAGAATGACATACAGTTAACTGCCCTGGTGGTGTTTTGTACTGCAAGGAAAGCGACACTACTCTGCTGTCGCCACGAGAGGGTGCACTTCCGAGTTTATCGACATGATTAGAGGGGGAGGGGGTCAACGTCTGAAACGTGGAGTTATATATTGCCTGTTTGAGTGAAGCGATCGGCGATCTAATCTCCTGTGACCAAGTGTGAGTGATGAGATAAGTGGCATAACTGTACTGTCTTAGAGTGAACTCACTTCTTTCCTTACATCCTAACAAGCTTTAGCAGCATTAAATTACATCTGCTCCTCACAACTACAGCGCTATTACAGCGCTCAGTCATATTTTAGTATTAGCGCATTCCCAAGCAACGAAAGTAAAAGCTCTGCTCGCTGGTGTTTGAATACTGTCATATACTCTGACATGGATGTGATAGGAGTGATGGCAGTAAAGCCGTGTAATCCATTATTGACCTACCGAGCCAGCTAATGTTTGCTGTTTGTATTAAGCTGACATGGTTGAGAAACTAAACAGTTTCTAAACAGCACTTGTAACCAGACAGCTAAAAATTATCCGTTTTCTTTCTTAAATTATGACTATTACAAAAATTGCAGCCTGTTTGTCATGTTCTGAACATAAAGGATTGTTTAAAACAGCAACTGACCACTCGGGAGCAAAAATCAGCATTCAAACATGTCGAGCGATATGAAGTTTTTTTATCGTGATAACATTTTTGGCCCCATCACCCAGCTCTACATACAGTTAATAAAATAGATAGAATATGTAATCAAAAAAATTACACACCAGACCCTATAAATTTTCTGCCATCACAGAGACAAGGAATTAACCAATACAAAAGCTCTATCCAAGTACTCACATGTGGACAACAGGAATGAGAAGACAGAAAATGCACTTGTTATGTCAGCCAGTCAGACATCTATCAACAACCTAATAATATATTTTTTTTCCAGTGTATGTAGGAATATTGGCAAACATCTGTTTCTACATAGGCTGCAAAACATCAACCCTGCCATTATGAAAATGTCACTGCTAGTACTGTAGTACTTCAGTCTGGTCTCGGTTTTGAGACTGTAAATTAGCCTTCTTAGTCTTGTCTTGGCCTTGACATTGTTTCTGTCTTATTTTGGTCTTGGGTAAGGTGGACTTGTAAATTGCTCTGGAGACTAGCCAATTGCAATGCTTAGCCTGAGGTAATAATCAGTATAGAACAGATTTTCTGTTATTACTGAATATCAACAATTCCTTTAAAAAGAATAAAACCTGTTTCTACATGTTTAAATAAAATCTGTTCACAGCCAGTTGAGGATCTAATTGATCATTTTCGATGATGGCTTAACTGAGTATTATTTGTTTTTGGTTTTCACTGGTTCCAAAATTAAAACATCTTCTGAGGACAGATCAGAATGTTCATTTTACTACACTGACAAGCCAAGAGTCATGGGATAGCAGTATGTAAATTGATTATAAAAGGGCGTTAACTCAGAGAACGGCTTGGGAACGCCCACACCTGTATGTTCTGAGGTGTTATTTTGTGAGTGAGGTTGAACACCAGCCAAGCATGCTCAAGGCACGGTAATGTGAATTAAGTTTGAACGAGGTATGATAGTGAGTGCCAGATGGATGGGACATTCCATTTCCAAAATTGTGTAAGCATTTAACATTTCTGAATCCACAGTGTCATGTATGCCAGGAATACATCATAGAAGGCATTACCATCCACAGTGGACAACGCAGTGGCCACCCAAGGGTGATCAGCAGCGTCTGGCTAGAACTATGGTGAACAGACAAGCAACTCTGGCAGAAATCACATCCACATTCAATGCAGAAGGACCCACACACATATACCGGTCAGTGCAGCATTCTTTAGCCTCCATGGGATATGTGAGCACAAGACCCACTAGAGTGCCTCTGTTAACACCACAATACCGGACACAGCGCCTCACCTTGGCCCGTGAGGTTGCTAACTGGACCCTAGAGGACTCTACCCGCAGGCCTCATGAAGCCATGAACCACAGCTATCAATAAAGCACTGTGAAGCTGCTGGTGGATCTATACTGGTGTGTGGTGTGTTCTCATAGGTTTCTGGGTTCTCGGTTGGGTCCACTGATCTGCGTAAACACATCATTGACCAGCGACCGCTACGTTCACTGCTTGGTGACCATTTGCAGCCCTTCGTGAACTTCATGTACCCCCACAATGATGAGAGTTCTGACAAATGGCGTGGCCTGCACGTTTGCCTGACATGGGCCCAAGCATTGATGGGATGTGGTAGAGAGGACCATTCACACCAGAGATCCTGCACCTACAAATACCACGGAGCTGCGGGTGGCTATTCTGATGGCATGGCTCAACATCCCTCCAGCATCTTCCGTCCACTTGTGGAATCGATGCCACATCAAGTTGCTGCACTTCACCAGGGTTGAGGCGGTCCTACACTATACAAGTTCCTGTCCCATGACTTCTGGCACGTCAGTATGTTCTAATTAATTTTAAAAAATGATTATGTTTTGGTTTATATTCAAGTGACTTTAGGTGGTGATTTCTGAACAAGTTTTAGGAAAGAAGAGAACCTTACTATCGTTCCCTTCTAAAAGTTACAGTGCAAGGTGGACTAAGAATCTAATATAATAATTAATATTATTTTACACTACATTATATTTAACGTCATATTTTGCTAAATATATTTATAAGTGTAGTACAATTTATTAACATATATCACGGTCTTGACTCTTACTTACTACTAATGATCTTGGCTACAACACTAATCACCGCACTGAGCTGCTATTCATTCTAACCCAAACTTCGCCAGGTTACCAACTACATCCCAGAAATATATATCCTCACCAGTATTGTCCCTCCATGGGCTTGGGTCCCTGTGATGGGGGTTAATCTCTTGCTTGCTAGGCCATGTGTTGGACATGGTGAGTGATGAGTCAGCATGGCATCTTCGAGGGAGGGTGGGAGTCAACTGGGCACCTGGCAGAGTTGCCAGAGGGTAGGAAGGCAGCAGGAAGGACCCAGGGAGAGTTGGATTGGAAAGAAGAGAAAAGGTGCGCTCTACAATGGAGTTACCAGACAGCAAGCAGCCAGGCAAACCTAGAACGTAGCAAGTATCTATTCTCAACATAGTACAGAACTGGCTGGAATTTATAGCATACAGTGTCCTCTAGAGTTATTTGCATCTTTGGTGAAGATGAAGAAAAAAGACTGAAAAAAAAAGAGAAATCGAACCTTATAATTGGGTTAAATTATTCAAAGACGAAAAAAAAAAGAACAAACAAACGTGTTAAATGTGAACAAACAAACATGTTAAGTTTTAACATTATTGACACCATCATGTTTAATACTTCATGTACTCTCCTTGTGTCAAGTTATCAGCACTAAAGGCCATTGCAAAATGTGCCTTGATGCAGCTGCAATAAGTGCTTGCAATATGCTAAGTTTGTAGGTAGTACCTGTGCACAGGAACACCTACTAATTGTGCTATGCTTGTAAATTGCAGTAGTTGAAAGATATATTGAAAAGGTAAGAACTGTCAATTATGGAACAATCAATAAGCTCAGGACAAAGTATAAAATATAAGTTCAGAGTCAAAGAGATAGAAGCATTCTTTCCCAACAAACCATTCTACAGGAATGTAATTGGCTCAGAAACACACAGAACACCACCACCATAAATTAGGCTAGGAGTTTCAAGAGTTTAAGTACTATTTTGTTAAATATCAGCATTTAAGCAAATTCAGCATATCTCTGAGGTTTGTGCTTCTGTCTAGCTCCTATAATTGCTGTCATTTTTAAAAGAGATCTCCAAACAACAGTTTTGAAGCTGTAATAAAGTCAAAGGGTGAACACTCTTGAATTACTGCCTGTAATTTTCAGTTAAATATATACTTCCTTTTTTTCCCAGATGCTGAAAAATTAATAACGTACTTAATGGCCATTTTGGAAATAAAACTGTTTTACAGAATATATGTTTACAGAATTCAAATTTAATAAAAAAAAAAATTAATTATTAAATAAAAAGTCAACATCATCAAGTCACCTCTTTCAGCATCAGTGGTGCTAGCTCGGTCCAAGTCTAGGCTACCACTTCGCTGAAACTTGCCCATTGTTTCTGTCCCCAAGCTTGGAGTGTGTGGCTGGAGAGGCTCTGCTGAACCTGTATATTTAAACAAAAACAGACAACTTGACAAATGAATCACTCGTACTGTACATACTGTTCATAATAATAATAACTAGAAAGGGAAAGTTTGTGAACGAACTTTAAGTTAGCTTGAAAAAGCCAGCTAATTGCCAGCTAAATGTTAAAATGGTGGAAGACTGCTGATGATTGTTAAAACGTTGCTAAAATGTTGATATGCAGATGCTGCAGTATCCAAGGTGGATGGTAATGCATTGCTAGGTGCTATCGTAAATGAAGTTTAGTGATACCTTTTTTGGGGTTTACCCAAATTTCTCCCCAATTTAGTCATCTCCAATTCCACTCGCTAGTTAGGACTCCCCCAATCACACGATACTACCAATGCTAGGAGGGTAAAGGCTAGTACCGGCTTCCTCCAAGACCTGTAAAGCGTTAAACTGCTGCTCATGCAATGTCTTTGGACAGCTGAACATGCTTGGAGGAAAGCGCCAACCGCCAGATCTGTTACATCAGCTAAAAGATGCCTGCGCTGACTAGCGGCGCGCTGTGTGATAGGGGGAGAAGCAGGGGGCCATCCTACCGACCCAGAGAGCAAGGCCAATTGTGCTCTCTTGGACTCCCGGCCACGGATGGCTGTAGCATCACCAGGGATCGAACTTGCAATCTCCTGATGATAGAGCCAACACTTAGACAGTTGCGCCACTTGCAAGCCCAGTGCTACTTTAAATGGAGTTCCACCTTAAATTCTGTGCCACCTTAAATGCAGTTCCACCTCAGATTCAATACTACCTTAAATGCAGTGTGTTTGGCGATTATATGTATTTGTAGGTGCTGTGTTCAGCATGCACTGTGTTTAGTGTGTGTTCTTTGTGGTCTGTGAATGTGTGTGGTGTGCTGTGTGTATTGTTACTGTTATCACTGTTGTTACTGTTTTATTTCTGTGTTAACTGTATAATTAGTTTTATTTCTGTGTCAACTGTTTAATTACTGTTTTATATCTGTTATACCAGTTTTAGTTTTGTTATTACTGATATTGCTGCTGTTATTGCTGTGCATTAGACTGTAAGTGTGTGAATCTGCGTGTACTGTGTATACTGTGTATGATTGTCTGTGTGAGAGATGTGCACTGTGACATCACTTGCATCAGTTAGTTTGAATGTTATGAACATTCCAAATGTTCATGTTTCAACAACGTTTTGTGAAAACTATACGTTGGATCGGTCCAAAAAGCACAAGCTCACTATTCCCGTATATGAGGAACATTTGTGCAAAATTTGGTGATTGTACGTCAAAAACTGTTAAACTGTGAAAAGTTTGAGCGTAGAATAATAAGAAGAAGAAGATTATGAAGAACAGTAAGTTGCCTTGGAGGGAAAATTCGTTCACATTGAAAAAGCTAGCTTATACTGTTAAAATGTTAAAACGGTTGAAGACTGTTGATGGTTGTTAAAGTGCTGCAAAACTGTTGCTAGGCGGTAACTACAGTATGCAAGGTGGATAGTAATGTGTTGCTAGGTGCTACCTTAAATGCAGTTCCACCTTAAATTTACTGAAATTTACTGATGACCTTAAATTCAATGCCACCTTAAATGCAGTTCCACCTTAAATTCAGTACTACCTTAAATCAATTCTACCTTAAATTTACTGATACCTTAAACTCACTGCCACCTTAACTGCAGTTCCACCTTAAATTCAGTGCTACCTTAAATGCAGTTCCACCTTAAATTTACTGATACCTCAAATTCAGTGCCGCCTTGAAGTTACTGCTAACGTAAATTCACTGCCACCTTAAATTCAGTGCTACCTTAAATGTAGTTTCATCTTTAATTCAGTGCTACCTTAAATGCAGTGCCATCCTAAATTCACTGTAACCTTAAATTTACTGATACATTAGATTCACCGCCAACATAAATTGAGTGCTACCTTAAATGCAATTCCACCTTAAATTCAGTGCCACCTTAAATGCAGTTCCACCTTAAAAGCAGTGCCACCTTAAATTCATTATTTGTTATTGATATTGCTGTGCATTAGGCTACATATACTGTGTACTGTGTATAAGTGTCTGTGTGAGAGATGTGCATTGGCAGTTACATTTGAATGTCCTAAACATTCTGCCGTTCATTTTCTAAGGGGGAAAAAAAATGTCCGTTTATCGCCCACGGTATGAAACCCATACATAGGATCACTTAGAGCACAAGCACAATACCAGGGTATAGGACCTACAATCCTGCCAAGTTTCATGGTTCCACGTCAAAAACTGTAGGAGGAGATACTTAAAATTTTAATCATGGAATAATAATAATAATACTAATAATACTACTACTAATAATAGTAACAATAATAACAATAATATCAATTACTAACAAAGTTTAACAACTGTTTTTTGTTATTATAATTAAAAATACATTAACATGCTTAAATTCAAAATTTTAAAGTAAGCTGTTTTAGCTTTTATTTCCTATTTATCTCAGTCTCAGGAATTTGATTTGCACAGGTGAGAATTAAATATCAAATAGTGACTAGTATAAATTCAGTTTTACTTCTTTGAAATGCATTTTTACCATTTTCATCTGATGCAGGAAGAAGAGTTTTAAGGACACTGCCAGTTAAATCTGCCGAAATCCTGCTTGGGAAAGTCACTTTCCCCTCTGTTCTGCTAGAAGATATACTGTGTTGCTCTCTCCAAACAGATCAAAATGTGTCTTTTAACTATACTGCTAAATCAGCTGTGTGTGTATATGTGTGATTTGTTGTATGTGGGACCAAACATGTTACGAGACATTGCAGAAAATATTGTTTAATCCATATCTGCTTCTTACTGGGAAATATACTGCCACAGCAGTTCAGACATTAGTTTTTTGCAGGACTGTGTCATGTTATGAATTGATAACACCATATTCAAATTAGATAATATCACAGCCACACTTCGCATCGCACAAGCAATAAAACTCATCGGTAATCCAGTTTATGAATGAGCAAATGTGTTACATGTTTGCCACACTGTTTGCTCTTACTGTCAAGGTAAATCTGGTGCTCCACTTTTCAAATATTTATGTGCTTTTTTTTAAATAATAGTGTTGCATTACAATTTGCAGACATATATCATAATTCACTTTGTTCCATGCAGAGGTGGTTTTAATTTAGCTTGAAACTTTGTTTGAGAATCAACAAAATGTGTCATTTGACCAGGGATGTCGAAATATTTGCATATCAATGTTCCTTTGTTAAGCAGTGGTAGGTGACACACCTTGCTTTCACTTTCTTATAACTTTTTTACTCTGGCACAACAAAAGGTCAGCATTAGGTTGGCCTAGTTTCTTCGATTAACCACCACTGCCAGCCTGAACCATTCTCGACAAGACTATGATGGCTGCAAAGTTCCTCAAGTTACCAAACTACAGTCACCAGAGACTTGAAGTAGCACACCAACATAAACTCCATTGCATGGAAAGTCTTTTGGAGGATGTACTTCCTGCTCCAGCTAAAGTAGTTCAGTCTTACAAAGGAGCTGGTGATTCAGTTCTACACAATCATTATATGGTCTGTCATCACCACCTCCATCGCAGTCTGGTGATGACAGCTCTGCCACCAAACATGACATTCACAAGCTTCAGCGCATCAATATGTCCGGAGACACCTGGTCCAAATCTGTCCAAACTACTTCACTAACACAGCCCCAGAATCAGAAAATGTGCAGGGAAAATCACTGTTGACCCATTGTACCCTGGCCATCGCCTATTTCAGCTCCACCCCTTGGCAGACACTTCAGTCAAATGAAGGTTAAAACAACCAGACAATGAGAATAGTTTTAATCAGCATTACTACCTCTTACATGGCTTAGATTTTTGCACATTCTTTCCATTCTTTATGAATGTATGTGTGACTTATATATGTATGGATGTGTGGGTAACAGAACTTAGAAGGGCTATCACATGCATGTGAAAACAGCTAGTGTATTTTTCCCTCCTCCAACAAACTTAATACAACTCATTAAAGGCTTGACAAGTAACTGTTGAGTTGAATTAGGGATAGAGGTGGAAACTAGGGACCTCTAAGATAGTAAAGGAATAATGAAGAACCAGTTATGGAGAAAATTAATGCTTTTAGATGAAAACCCACAAAAAGCCAAGAAACAAACACTAACAAACTTACCAAAGCTGGTGACATAGGATTCCTGATTCAGTCTCATAGAGGTAGCCAGATTGTCAATGCTTGCCTAGGGAAACATAAAGCCTATTTAGCTTGACAATTTGATATTTAGTTGACACATTCCACAAATATTTGGACATTGACAAAGTTATTGTTATTTCAGCTGTCTACCACAGCATATTGGGAGTTAAAACTGATTAATGTAAGCTTTAATGTAAGTGCACTTGCCAATTTGGGTGAACAGTGTAGGAATTACAACCATTTTCATACAGAGGCCCTCTGTTTTTGCCAGTGCAGATCATTTTACTTTTTTGCCTTAAAAGTCTTGGGATGCGTTTGTAGGATGTCTTGGGCCACCGTCCTTCTGCACTGTGAAGCACCGTCCAATGAGTTTTAAAGCATTTGGCTGAATCTGAAGAGATAATACAACCCTATACCCTTCAAAATTCATCCTACTAAACTAGTTCTACTGGCAGTCACACATGCCCATGCCATAACACTACCTCCACCGTGCTTGACAGTATCATGGACCATGAGCAGTCTCGTCTCGTCTCGTCTCTTCTCTTCTCGTCTCGTCTCGTCTCGTCTCTTCTCTTCTCTTCTCTTCTCTTCTCTTCTCTTCTCTTCTCTTCTCTTCTCTTCTCTTCTCTTCTCTGGTACATGTTTAACTGTTCTTAAGATGTTACCAATGCCTTACCAATGGATTACATCTTGTATTGTAGTAAACTCTGTATTTACTCTGGTGAAGTCTTCTCTTGATTGTTGACTTTGAAACAGATATGCCTAACTCCTGAAGAGTGTTCTTCTTTTGTTTTTTGTTTTTTTCTGAGCTCACCAGTGCATTCTTTCTTGTTAAAATTGTACCAAACAGTTGATTTGGCCACACCTGATGTTTCTGCTGTCTCTCAAGGGGTTTGTTTTGATTTTTCAGTCTAATGATAGCTTGCTTCTTTGGCAGTGATGGCTCTTTGTACTTCAGTTTGGGAGTTTACAGCAACCCATTCCAAATGTATACTTTAAATCAATTCTACATGTTTTCTCTGTTTACTTGTAAATGAAATAATGAAGGAAGAACACACATTTGGCCATGGATCAGTTGGGCAGCCAGCTGTCCAATTACATAGAGCCCCTAACATTGAGGCAGCTATGTAAAAGATACGGTGGCTGGCTTCACAGGTCTCGGAGGAAGCCTGTGCTAGCCTCGCCCTCCTAGCACTGGTGGTATCGTGTGATTTGGGGAGTCCTAACTAGTGGGTGTATTTAGATACAATTAAATTGGGGAGAAAATTGGGGAAAAAAAGGAAATGGTTGTAATTTCCACAACGTTGAGCCAATTTGGATGCAAGAACACTCACATGAAAGTCTGCACTGAGCTTCATTATTTAATTTCATCTCCAATATGCTATGATAGACAGCTAAAATAAAAATAATTTTGTTTAGGTCCAAGTATGTACACAAAATGCCACATTCTTACTAACTGATTTAACTTCTTTTAGGATGTTTTATTAATCAATAAATAAATAAATTGCAGAATTTGTGCTAATGCTTGGCAATCGATGAGCAAATTACAGTTAATAATATTGGCAACCGATAAGCATTCATTATAGATTTAACATGCATTTTGTGTCCAAGACCATTATTTTGTCAAAAAAAACAATTACATAAATACCTGGTAAATGTCAAATTAAATACACCTACACACACGCGTATATATATATATATATATATATATATATATATATATATATATATATATACACACACACATAATTACAAACCAAAAATAATGATTATTTATCTGTGAAAGATATATACATCAAGATGTAAAAGTTATTTATGATTGTGATTTTAGCTCTGATTTGCCATTCGCAGAAGTTTTTTAGGATCTTTGTCAAACTACCTAGCTCTTTGACAAATTTCTTTGCATGACAACCACTCACATGTAACCACTAGGCATAAGTGCCACAGTATGTCACTCAGCATTTCTCCATTATGCCTAGTGAACACTACACAACTTTCAAAACAACATTTATTTCTCAAGACCAATTGTATGTCGAAACAATGGTGTGCACACTACATGAGCAATTGTAGACAAAATTTCCAAACAAATGCAAAGTATTTATCATGTGCCAAAGTCAAGCTTAAGAACCTTACTGCATTTGCTGTTTCTGCACTAATTTGTAAAAAAATAAATAAATAAATAAGAGACTGAAAAATCAAATTTGAATCATTCTTGAAGTAACTCATGAAACAGTTCATTAAAATGGGTTGATCTGACAGCCTCCTGACAGAGACACGTATACTTCAAAGGAACAAAAAATGCTTGGCTTTGCAGAACGTCACGACCTTTAAGAAATTTTATTGATTTGCAATTAAAGGATCGTGCAAGCAGACTTTTCCACTGTGCTTTATGAGATTTCACATCAAACTAAAGCAGGCGTGTCCAATCTTATTAGCAGAGGGCTGGTGTTGCCACAGGTTTTCGTTTCAACAACTGATGAAATCTCTATATTTTGTGTATTTTTAATATATTTCAGTTTCGGTATTTTTATTTTGTTTACTTTCTGTAGAGTGATTACCTGAGCCTCACCACAAGCATTTCAATGCATGAATGTCCTGACATGTTGTGCAAATGACAAATAAACGTGAAACTTGAAATGTTTGAAGACTAAGACCAACTGATTAAATAAGTAGAATCTGGTGTGCTGCAGCTTGTTTGAAGTAAATACTTGCAGCCACACCAGCCCTTTGTGGATAAGATTGGACACCCCTGTACTAAAGTTACCTTTTATCAGGGCCCAGCCATTTGGGGAAAATGTGCTTTGTGTAAAGACTGTTGGGATGTTCTCACCAAACTCTGAGCGGAGAGCCAGACAAAATAGTTTTTTTTTTGACGTTTGGCAACATAATTATGATGAACTACTGGCGCGTAAGCCCAAAATTTTATTCAAGGCTTTTATTCAAGAGGCACCGAGCGGTCTGAATGACCCAGAACTCATGCTGCCTCACCACAGAACTCAGGTGGTTTTGGATGATTTAATGGAAATTACGTATCAGTCGGTAGTATTAGAACAGGCTTTCACAAAATATTATCACAATAATCTCAGCATGATATACTTGAATCAAATCTTGTACTGTTAGTTTGTACACTTCATATGTGATGCTTTTTAAAAATCCAAAAATCCAAGAGATAAGTTACAAATTACACTTTCAAGAGACAAATGTCTTCTGGACAATCAAATATTTCCTGGAATCATTCCAGGACACTACAGGGTAGCCAGCTACGGATGGCTGTAGCATCACCAGGGATTGAACTTGCGATCTCCTGATGACGCTTAGATGGTTGCGGGAGCCCTGTTTTTAATATTTTAAAAGGCAATGTCCAACTGATGAAATCTAAGTATAAACAATTTAAGAAAAAAGAAACTGTCTAAAGTTATGTCACATACGTCTGAGATCAGAGCCAATATAGTTAGATTCCACTCTGTCCCTGTAGCTCCTTTTGGCCAGCATGATAGTCCTCTGAAGGACATATCAGGCCTTCTTGTTGCTAGCCAGGTCACCAGAGTTGTTTGGCTCAAACCTCAGCACTGATCCAGGGTTTCTGGCTGGGAAATGTTCTGATATTGATTTGGCACAATGTCTTCAGTGCATTTACTAATGTAGCTTGTGATGGAGTCAGTGTATTCATTGATGTCTGTGCCAGCTGCATCACGGAACAGCTTCCAGTTGGTGGATTCAAAGCAGTCCTGAAGTGTGAAGATGGCCTCCTCACTCCATTGATAGACTGATCTGAGAAGGGGTTTCTCCTGTTTCGGTCTTTGTTTGTATGCTGGCAGGAGAAGAATGGAGGTGTGATCAGCATTGCCGAAGGCAGGGCGAGGGAAGGGTTTGTAACTGTCCTTGAGTGCAGCTTGGCAGTGGTCAAGAGTTTGTTCTCCTCGGGTGGGAAATTTAATTTGCTGGTAGTACTTGGGCAGTACCTTCTTAAAGTTTGCCCTGTTAAAATCCCCAACCACAATAAAAACAGCCTCAGGGTGAATGTTCTCAAGTTGATTAATGGTCTCATACAAAACCTCTAATGCACGTGACTTATCTACCTGAGGTGGGACGTAGACTGTGACGAGAATGACTAAGCTAAAGTCTCTGGGCAGAAAAAAGGTCGAACTTTGACTGTTATGAGTTCAATGTCTGGAGAGCAGTGACTGGCTAGAATCGCTACATCTGTTCCCCATCGAGAGTTCACCATAACACATATCCCACTGCCTCTGCACTTACCAGAGTCCAGAGTTCTGTCCTGACGGTAGATGGAGAAAAAGGTCACCAGCATCACCAGATTTCACGCCATGTGACTTTTTTTTTTTTGTGGGGGTACGTTAAGGATTCTATTTATATGCCACCATTTTTTGGCCAAATGTGTTTTTAAATACTTTTTTAATTAATTGTTTTAAATCTCACACATCTAGTCGACCCCTTCATCATCACAGGAACAGCAATACCAGTAACCTTATCCATCAGCCAGTGTCATCAGAATCTCTGACCAGAATGCCAGGTGGGCTCTGGAATTGCCAATCCACAGTTCAGAGGGCAGACTTCACCTCAGCCCTAGCATCCCTCCATTCACTGCACTTCCTGGCCTTGACAGAGACATGGATCACCCTCAAGAACTCAGCAACTCCAGGGGCCCTGTCCTCTGCCTTTAACTTCTCCCATTCTCCCAAGATAGACTGGCAGGGGCAGGGGCAGGGGCACAGGTTTGCTTTTGGTACAGAAAGTGGCATTTCACTCCTTTCTCTTTTTCTCATCTTTCAATTTCCTCCGTTGAGTACATCCTCAACCAGTCTCCTCCAACACACAAAGTAGGCAACGTTCTGGACCTAATCTTCAGCAGACCTAACCCAGCTTTGTCCATGTTGTCCAACTTCACATACATGCAAACATGTACACACACACACACACACACACACACACACACACACACACACAGTGCCTCCACACTTTTATTCACGGCGGGTTCACCCCAACACCACGTGTAATATAAATGTGTAGAGGGTGTACAGTGTGAAG